TATAAATGTAAATACAGTTTTAAATTATTTAAGAATAAATAAAAGATGGGAGGGAAGAGAATGTGATTAGGAAAGGGCAGGCAGGGGCTTCCTGAGTTCTAAACATTGCTCTTGGTCACACTGAAGATTATACAGAAATCTACTTTAATATTATTTGTTGAATTATATATCTATATATTATGCACTTTCTGTATATGGTTGTATCATATTTTTAAAATGGAATAAACCCTGTAGAAGTGATTCTCAAACTTTTTCTTCTCATGTCCCCTTTAAAATCTTCAAACTTTTTGAACAATACAAATAACTTTTGTTTATGGGTTATATCTATCAATATTTATGATTTTAAAAAAGAAAACTAAGAAATTTTAAATATTTATTTATTTACTTCATATAACATAAATAACATATTTTGATAAAAATTTGCCATACTTTCCAAAACAAAAAAAACAAGTCAGGGGAGAATGTTGAAGTTTGAAGATGACATTAAACTCTTTGGAGCAATAAAAATACCAAATTAATGAGGAGTACAGGAGATTTAACTTGGTCTAATAAATGGAGACAAAATGGCAGGTGAGTTTTTGTGGGTAAGTGCAAAGTACTGCAATCATGGATATAAACAGATGGGCACTGAGCTATAATTTACAGTCCAGGGAATGCTTTCGGGAAGTTATAAAGGATATTGTGAAGACATGATGTGTAAGGTTTTTTTTAGCAGCAGGGAATGAATAAATGAATAAATATCCTAAAGATATTGACTAGTCGGAGCACTGTTTTTAAAGCTTATAAAATACTGAATATCATCAAAGCCCTCAAACCCCAAGCACATCTATTAACATTTATTACATTTCCAGAGGCTTGATGTTAATACAGAAAGGAATCTTCTATTAATATGTAATGTGATAAGTAATCAGACCAAACTTCTCACTGAAAACATCTAAAATTACCTAAAAGCATATTTTAAAATATTTCTAAAAAGCACTGAAGAGCTAGTAAGATAGTAAATGGAAAGAGAAACCCAAAAAGGTAAACAGTACCAAAGCCACTTTTGCCCTGAGGACACTTGTCATTTCCTGAGAACTTGAGTTCAATGTTGATGATTCCATAGGGGACATAGGTCAGAAGTCAAAACTCAGGTCCAGCCCAGGGTGAAGAG